CCCTAGGTGAACTATTAGTGGTTCACCAACCCGGTTATAGCCCCGGATGTCGGCTTTTCGTTGGTGGGAAAACACCCTCGCCACGAAAAGGCAGTGAGTAGGGCTTCTTCAGCAGAGGCTATTTGAGACACTTGGTCGTATGGGAGCATTTTACCGGGTGCAAGGGAAGGGTGGCCAGCGGCAACCCGAGACACATCCCCCGATCATACTAAGGATTTCGGACACCTGGAAGGTCTCTGTTCATCCCTTCAACTGTTTATTACATCAATAATGTTAAAATCCGTTATTAAACTGTATTACTTATTATTTACACAGGTGCAGTAATGTATCTCACAAAGCTCGGGAATTGGATCGCAAATAGTTCAGCACAGCTGGAAGTGATAAATTCAACGTCGTTTGGTTCAGCATTGTTTCGTACAGACTCCAGACGAACCCATAAGTCCTAAGAAACATTTTGGCACTGGTATGGAAAAAGTGTTTTAAATTACGCTCCCGGAAGAACCGCGAATCACAAGTCGCGCGTTCAAACCTTTGATGCCCAATTACCTACAACTTTCCATAATTTTTACTCTGCACATAATACACACATAGTCTGACTGATACAGCATGCGGGGTCACGTATCCACAGATTAATGTTTTGCAAATGAACGCGGAATTGGAATAACTAACTTCTGTGAATAGAAAAAGCATCTATTTTACATCTTCGTATGTGTATGTTACCCCAGCAATAAATCCGGACTAACAAACTCCCTCATAGTATAATAAATGCTCTAAACAATTTTTTATTACGAGCTTCAGCGTGCTCATCCGTGGAAGGAGGAAATTCGGCAGTTACGAAGATCTACTAAGCGGTCTGAAGAACCGATGAGGTGAGCCCTTTGAGTAGCGAACAACATGAGGCCCAAAAGGAATATACGTGTTGAGTTCGGAGACAGCTGTGCAGCTATTTCGGACCGAAATCGGGATCCTAGAGTTCGGAGCGCACCCCCGACGATGGCTATCTCGGCGACCACACTATCATCAACACAACAACCATAACCGCGGCCGGCGCGAGCATTAGCATCAGTGACGTTTTTCTTTGTAGGAGTTGAACCATTTAAATTATAAAAAATGTGACAATTAGTGAACTTATTATTGAACAGATAATAATTGTGGAATGAAAGTCGATGTAGAAGCACCATCCGCAACCACAAAAAGACATTCATGAAGCGCAATACAATGATTAAAACACAGAGACCATACTGGACTCAACCCCATAGACAGTTCAATGCGTTGCTATTGGCTGAAAATTTGACTCAACTCAACGTGTGATCTTACGCGAGCTGCTGGTGAAACATCACGACGATCGGATACGACCGACATCA